GAAGAAAAACCCCAAAATCAACAAACAAAATTTACAAAATGATATATAAAACTCCAATACAATTTGAGACAAGAAAACAGCAACCCCTTCAAAAGTTCTATAATTTCATTCACAACCAGATGAACTAGATGTTAAAAGATAAAATCCTTGTTGCAAACTTTTGTAAAGCAGGTACATGACAACCATGTATTGACCACCAATTATATATAATATAAACTAAAATAAGAAAACATTGTTATTCAAAAAATTATTACGGTTTATAGAATCAAAAGAATATTTTGATCAAAGTTGTCATTATTATTGAGCATCCTCTCAAAGCTAGTCCTCTCCGGAAATTTCCAGATTGCGTCTTATAAAGAGTAAACTTTTTATTCATGACTTGATCTTGTTTTTCATACTGACCATGGTAAAACGTCTCGACACAACTCATAAACCCATAAATTAACGGCTAATCATACTCACTGGTTGTATCCTTGTAGACGCAGAATGGGTTCAAGATATAGGCGCTCATGTGCAAAGGAGAATCCAACCTACCTTTGATTTTCTCATCAATAATATCAAAAATAGGTTTTTAGTTTCTCTCCAAGTCACTACAAGCAAACTTAATCTTATTCCTTGCTTCTAAGAGCTCTCCAAAGATAAAGAAACCCATTAACGGTTTCTTCTCTCCCTCAGCATATGAATAGACTAGATGTTTTACTGTTTGAAGGTTGAAGATTGAACCTTAAGTCACGGTTTACTGATTTGTTTTTCAGAAACCAACAAATTAATTAAAAATTTTAAACCGAAATTTTTTCAGCCATTCGACCGATTTTAGCCGCTAAACCCAATTTCTATTATACCTGATTTAATACATCGATTTTAACTAATTTATTTTTTCCAACATGTGTATGAGCGTATAAACAGATGATTATACGGCGAGTTGGCGAGTTTTTTTAAAATAGTATTCAAAATAGTTATGTATATAATTGAAGATGAAGTTTATTACAAATTCGAACATTGTAGCGAATAATATTTGTTTTTGAAAAAATTTACTAAATTTATTATTTGTTTAATTATTTATTTAAAATCTTGTATTTTATCGTTTTTTTTATCTTCTAGATAATTCTATATATTAAATATAAATAAAATAGATGTTTAAAAAAATTCTAGAGTTTTCTTTTATTTCTCTTTATTATTATTCTATTTTTTTCTTTCACCAACATAACTGAAAAGCTTTTGTAACACTAGATTAAATTTATCACAAAATATTTTTGTTTCCTTTCCCTATTACCACCTGTTAGTTACCAGATTCAAATTCAATATCATTGACAATGTCAGGATCTTCTCTACATTCATCATTTGGAACTTCATAAACAGGTTCTCCATTAAGCGCTTCAACACTCTTAAGTGGATTCACATACCATTCTTCTGCATTTCTTTCTTCTCTATCGTCAAGAATCACATCAATATTTTTTTATCTTTAATTTTTTTTTTCATTTGCTGAACAATTTGACATTATATTGGACATAAACTAAACTGTTAAGTCGATTAACATCTAGTCTATTCCTTTTTTTAGTATGAATTTGCAAGAAAAAAAAAGAGAAAAAAACCCCAAAATCAACAAACAAAATTTACAAAATGATATATAAAACTCCAATAAAATTTGAGACAAGAAACAAGCAACCCCTTCAAAAGTTCTATAATTTCATTCACAACTAGATGAACTAGATGTTAAAAGATAAAATCCTTGTTGCGAACTTTTGTAAAGCAAGTACATGACAACCATGTATTGACCACCACCAATTATATAATATAAACTAAAATAAGAAAACATTGTTATTCAAAAAATTATTACGGTTTATAGAATCAAAAGAATACTTTGATCAAAATTGTCATTATTATTGAGCATCCTCTCAAAGCTAGTCCTCTCCCGAAATTTCCAGATTGCGTCTTATAAAGAGTAAACTCTTTATTCATGACTTGATCTTGTTTTTCATATTGACCATGGTAAAACGTCTCGACACAACTCATAAACCCATAAATTAACAGCTAATCATACTCACTGGTTGTATCCTTGTAGAAGCAGAATGGATTCAAGATATAGGTGCTCATGTGCAAAGGAGAAACTAACCTACCTTTGATTTTCTCATCAATAATATCAAAAATAGGTTTGTAGTTTCTCTCCAAGTCACTACAAGCCAACTTAATCTTATTCTTTGCTTCTAAGAGCTCTCCAAAGATAAAGAAACCCATTGACGGTTTCTTCTCTCCCTCAGCATATGAATAGACTAGATGTTTTACTGTTTGAAGGTTGAAGATTGAATCCTAAGTCACGGTTTACTGTTTTGTTTTTCAGAAACCAACAAATTAATTAAAAATTTTAAACCGAAAATTTTTCAGCCATTCGACCGATTTTAGCCACTAAACCCAATTTATATTATACCCGATTTAATACATCGATTTTAACTAATTCATTTTTGCCAACATGTGTATGAGCGTATAAACGGATGATTATACGGCGAGTTGGCGAGTTTTTTTTAAAATAATATTTAAAATAGTTATGTATATAATTGAAGATGAAGTTTATTACAAATTCGAACATTATAGCGAATAATAATTTTTTAAAAAAAAAATTACTAAATTTATTATTTGTTTAATTATTTATTTAAAATCTTGTATTTTATCGTTTTCTTTATCTTCTAGATAATTCTATATATGAAATATAAATAAAATAGATGTTTAAAAAAAAATTCAAAGTTTTCTTTTATTTCTCTTTATTATTATTCTATTTTTTTCTTTCACCAACATAACTGAAAAGCTTTTGTAACACTGGATTAAATTTATCATAAAATATTTTTGTGTCCTTTCCCTAAAAGACGCATAAGGCCACTTTATCGACGATTGATTAAACAACTGCTCTTCATCTTCATGAAAGTCCCTCTGACCGACGTCGGCTCAGGCGTCCGTCGTACTCTTTTCTTTATGCTTTTGTAATTAAGTTTTCTTCATTCAATAAAATCAAATCGATGATTTGGAAGTTTCTATTTCTAAATCTCGTTTTTCTTTTCTCCCTTTGGGAGAATTTCTTTCCAACCAAAATTCGACAACGGCTGAGGAGTATATATGTTGGTTTCATTCCATTCGGATTTTTGACTGGTTTCTGTCATTTCAACTTTGAAACGTTTCAATTTTATTTCCAAAGAGTTTGTGACTCAGATTACAATTTCTTCATGGAGAAAGAAATTGGTTGCACGAATCTGGGATCCAAGAGAAAATACTTTGGATATTAATTATTGTTTGATGAGAAGAAAAAGGTTTTGGGCATATCTCACAAACAACAAAGGAGAAGAGAAGATGTTTCATCTCTTGCACTACCATCGTTTTCAGAAGAGACGGTATTTGAGGTTTTTTCTCTTTATCATTCAAAATCAACATATCCTCCAACGAGAACACATCAAGCTTTGGCCGACATCAGATATTTTGGTTTCAACAAGGAGACAAGGTTCAATTTCATCACCAATATCTTTTAATTTGATTGTATTTGTAAATGTAATGTCAAATGCATTTTGGAGTTTCATCCTAAAGATGATAGCCAATGAAAAATACATGAAGGAGGGACATAACATATTTCATCTGTAACAGAGATTAACTTTTATATTTGTAAATTAGTCCTTCAACTTTTAAATCTTTTTATTTTTATTTGTATAACAAATAAAAAAAAATTAATTAAGGAGGTGTTATTGGTTCTTGTATTTTAATGAATTTGAGAATCCAAACTAAATTCAGTGTTATTGGTTATTGTATTTTAAAATCTATATTGAAATATAGTGTTATTGGTTCTATGATTTTAAAATTCATAATGAAATACAGTGTTATTGGTTCTATCATTTTTAAATCTAAATATTATGAAGATTTGAGTTTTAATTGAATTTGAATGGATTTGGAAGGATTTTCATGACTAAAATACAAAGACTTAAATACAAGGTCTAACCTTGGTATTTGAGTGGATTTGATTTTTTTTCATTTTGCTGATTTTGATATCAATAAATTTATCAAATCCAAAGAAAATTTCTAAATCCACCAAAATACAAGAACCAATAACCCCTACTAAATATTTGCATAACTTATTTTTATATATTTAGTGAACAATCATCTATCCAATGTATAATATGACTATATATATAATATAAAATTTTGAAGACATAGTATAATTAAATATAATTTTTTTTCGTTTCAAATTTAGTCCTAGATAATTTTATAAATTAAAATTATTATGTTTTATATGATGTAATGTGATGTTCTTTGTATAATAAATATTTAATTTTAATATTATTATAATTTTATGAATTTTTTGTAAAAAAATAAAATAAATGAGGTTAATTTATGAATTTTAGAAATAAAAGGTGTTACCAATAAATTAGAAAAAGAATATATTTTTAGAGGAAAAAATAAATGAACACATTGGAGAGAGACCCACCTCTATTTTAGAATTACTCTATTTTAAAGAAAAAAATAGTAATGTACATTGGAGATGGTCTTAGCCTATAAGACTTTTAGAAGGAAAGCTTGATTACTCTCCACTCCTACATGGAAATTGAAATACATTCCTTCACTAAAATTATTTCAGTTTCTTCTATTTGTGTTAACAGTTGTATTGGGAATGATTGTGTATCTTGTAAACTCTTTATGATATCAATATATTTTGATTTGTGAAAAAAAATTAATAACTAACTTATTTTTTCTAATACGTATTTTTGATATCCATTTTCCTATATTCAATTAATTGTTTTTGATAATACATTTTGATTAATTATATTCAAAACTAACCTAATTTATATTTTGACAAGAAAAAACAGAATTTTTACAGTATTTAAATAAAGTAATATTTAAAGAGAAATAATTATATTTTTCACAGTTTTTGTTAATATTTTTTACAGTACTTAAAATAAAATAATTTGGCATACCCTTATTACCTAATTAGGTTGAAGAGTTTTATAGGGTTTGTCTTGTAAACCACCATGAAAACTCAGCGGGGAGATGACAACAGAGAATCACTACCTCTAGATGTGGTGATCGAGATACTCACAAAATTGCCTGCGAAAACTCTATTTAAATTCATATGTGTCTCGAAGCAATGGTGTTCCATCATTCTTAGCCGATCATTCATCGACTCGTTCATGTCTCTGTCTTGGTCTCGACCACGTTTCCTCGTCTGCTACAGTATTCGTCATGGTGACAAGAGACGACTGCTCTTTTTCTCTTCACCTCTTCCTCCCCATGAAGATTCAAACCATTCATCAGTAGTATTCAAACACGACTTGCCGGACTCAGGAAACATTTCCTTTGAGTACACACTCTTCAGCAATTCTGTCCGTGGCATCATCTGTCTCTCGCTCGAGAATCTTGATTTTGTGATATGTAATCCAACAACAAGACAAGTCATAAGTATACCTAATGACCCAACCAGGTATGAATCTAAGAATAATGTATGTTTTATGTACGTGGGATACGACACAAGCAATGATCAGTTCAAGATTTTGAGCACGGTGAGGTCCCTCGGTCTCGAGTTCGGACCTGTTGAACACAGTGTATGTACGTTGAGAATAGGAAGAGGCGGACAATCTTATTTTTCGTCCTGGAGGCGCTTCGAAAGGAGTATCCATTATTTTCGCACTACTAATGCTTTATGCATCAGTGGAGTTTTGTATTATGGAGCTAGGAAATATGCAAAGAGCAGAGATGTGATTGTGAGTTTTGATGTTGGATCTGAACGGTTACTTCTCATGGAAGCACTTAAGGAAGAGAGGTTAATTCGTCTAGTAGACTACCGAGGGAAATTATCCTGCTTTTGTGTCGACAATGGTAATAGTTATAGTTTGTGGATTCTTGATGATGCTAAGAAGCAGATTTGGTCGAAGATTTCTGTTTTTTCGCCTTCTTTTTGTGATACATATCGGAATCTCAATCTGAGAATATGCGGCGCCACTGATACTAGCGAGATCATTTTTGTGGAGAGATTAACCGATCTTGCCTTTAAGCTTTTCTATTACGATTTGAAGAAGGAAAATGTGAGTAAAAGAATTGGAATTGGAGGTCTCGCAGAGTATGATAAGGTTAGGCGTAATCCTGATGACATTGTTCGGCATTTATCTATTTCATGTGAGCATGTGGACAACATCGTTTCTTTATAGTTGAATGAAAGGTAAGTTTAAATTTCTTTGCGCGTTCGGTTCTCAAAATACTATCTTTCTTATTGATCTAATCTATTATCTTCAGGACTTCAATGTAAGGGATGGTCGGCATTTTATCTATTTCATGTGACCATGTGGAAAAAATATTGTTTCTTTATAGTTTAATGAAAGACAGACAATTCGATTTTTATACATCATGATTGTTTTGGGCAGTCTTGGTTCCCTTTGTTTCCCAACTGAATGTAGTTATTTTGCTAAGCCTAGTAAGAATGCTGCTTTTCACTAAGGTAAATAGTTACAATCAAAACCTAAATTAATTAATCGCAACCTGTATAAAAGAATCTTAGTGTTCTTTTGTCTACTTATATGCTTCTCTTCTGCATTTGCTTGTATTTGTAATCATTTATTATAACCTCTTGATCAGAAATTGGACATGTACGGATGATTTTGTAGTGTGAATCAGTTAACTAATGGTGAACTGTAAACCAGAGCTATAAACCGTTACCGGAAAATGCTTAAGAGTGACATGCAGTTTTACTAAGAACATTATTTATTTGTTGGATATTCGCTGGGTTAATCCTGGCATGGCTTAGAAGTTTTGTAATAATTGTCGTTGATGTCTTACTATCCGAATCCAAATCTTTATACGATGCATGTTTTGATGTTGATGTTCAAAGTCATCCAGTAGATGTCTACAAGTATAAGTGACCAAATGTTTACAGACATCATTATTCAGTAGCTTAAATTTACATTATGATAAATTTTGGAGGAAACTTTAGAAGTAAGTTTCTCTCATTTTTGTTTATTAGCTCTTGTTTACTAAATTCTTTACATATTTAATATAAGAAATCTATTTATTTAATAGTAAAGAAATATACAAATAAATGTTAATTTTTCATTCAACTCGATCTCGTGTTTCTGAGATCTCTTTAACACATTAACAAAAATTTGTAGTTGGAGAATATTAAACATACTTGAATGACTTAATTTGGCATTAAACCAAACAATTTGGGATGCTTTTGTGTTGTATTTTTGTTTTTATTCTTCTCTAAATCATTCGATCGAATTCGCCAATATATAAACACCGACAGTTTCTTGCTTTAGAAATTGGTGTGGCCTTTGGACACATGCTTCTGTTCCCAAATAAATCTCAGTGGACCACTTGATTTATCAAATCAATTACACATTCTCCTTTACTTTAATTTATCCAAAAATGTTATTTTTTACCCTTTGAAGTTAGTACCATTTTAATCTTGTTATATGTACCGTTTTAACTATCTTACCGCATTGACTTACCGTTTTGATAATTTATCAGATCTCGACCTATATAGTCGCACCTTCGTCACTCTCGTTTTGTGGAAAGTCCGTGAGATCTGTGAGACACATGAAACCGATAAATGCACCTTTTTCATGATTGGGGCCCACTCCTCCGCAATGTCTCTCAAATTTCAACTATTCGGCTAAGGTTTGCTGACGTGTCATTTATCTATTAGCTGTACACAGATCTCTCAGGACCCACTCCAATCCCGGCGCGTCCGGTACAATCGCCATTTTCAGACCATGAAGAGTCAAGCCAGAAGGAGCTGACTCCATTATTTAACAAATTAAATAAAAAAAAAACACTAGAGATAGAGAGAGAAAGAGAGAATCATGTCGTCGTCGAGACTGTGCGATTCGTGCAAATCGTCGGCAGCGACTCTGTTCTGCCGCGCCGACGCGGCGTTTCTCTGCGGCGACTGCGACGGGAAGATCCACACGGCGAACAAACTCGCTTCTCGACACGAGCGAGTATGGCTCTGCGAGGTCTGCGAGCAAGCTCCGGCACACGTGACTTGCAAAGCCGACGCAGCCTCGCTATGCGTCGCCTGCGATCGTGACATCCACTCCGCGAATCCGCTTTCTCGCCGCCATGAGCGCGTCCCCGTCACGCCTTTCTACGATACCCCGGGAGGATCAGCCTCCTCGTCGGTCAATTTTCTCGACGACGACGCTGACGTCAGCATGGAGGCTGCGTCTTGGCTATTGCCTAATCCGAGTGTCAAGGAAGGAGGAGTAGAAATCCCTAATTTGTTCTCGGATCTGGATTACTCGGCGGTGGATCCGAAGATGGAAGCGTCGGAGAATAGCTCCGGCAACGACGGGGTCGTTCCTGTGCAGAACAAGCTGTTTCTCAACGAAGATTACTTCAATTTCGATATCTCAGCCTCTAAAACCTTTCCTCAGGGATTCAATTTCATCAATCAAACTGTATGAACTCTCTCTTTTCACCGATCTGCAATTTAGCTGCCATGGGAAATGAAATTAAGTTATCTTAGATTTATGATTTGCTCTGATTTCTTAATTTCGAAAATCTCTTTGGATCCAGAAAATTTGACCTGATCGAGTTTGTGAAATGTTAGGTTCCCTCAACATCACTAGATGTACCTCTGGTGCCTGAAGGTGGATCCACGGCGGAGATTTCAAACCCCACGGCGACGACGACGACGGCAACACCGGCCGTGCAGTTATCTCCGGCGGAAAGGGAGGCTAGGGTTTTGAGGTACAGAGAGAAGAGGAAGAATCGGAAATTTGAGAAGACGATTAGGTACGCATCACGTAAAGCTTACGCCGAGATGAGGCCAAGGATCAAAGGAAGATTCGCGAAGCGAACAGATTCGATAGGCAACGAGGGAGGAGACGTCGGAGTCTACGGCGGATTCGGCGTCGTCCCAAGTTTCTGAGTCTTCGAAAGATTCAAAGAAGGATTGTAGTAAAACGGTCATTAGAAAGATTATGGATAATTAAAGTGTATCTCGATTTTAATGAAGGGTTAAGTTATTATATAATTGTCGTCGAATATTACTTCTTCCCACCTACAAAAGTTAATAAAATTTTGATTTACAACCTAGAAACGAATTTATACATGATTAAATCATATTGAAAAGAAAAAAAAATCATTTGACGGCTTATAAAGGTACAATATTATTTGTTCCGAGGAAACATATGGTTTTCGGTTGATGTAATTTGATAAAATAATGATTTTTTCCTCTTTCACCTGGTTGCATTACCTTCGTTCGAATGATTAATTATTAGAAGTGCAAAATTAAGAAAAGTAAGAAACATAATATCCAAGGAATCAAAACTGATAATTATCTTCAAATTTTAAGGAACACGAGACAAAAAATTAAAAAAAAAAACATTTCATGTCTAGAGATCCGAAGGATAAGAAAAGAATGTAAGAAACTTACATTCTCATTCAGCATAGTCGGAAACGACGACTTCCTCAGTGACATCAATAACATCCTCAAACTCAACTTCTTTAGCTTCATACTCGACTTCTTCTTCCTCGTCACTGATTTCGCCATCCCTGAGGTTTTGCCTCTCGAGTTTCTCTTCCTCATGCAGAGACTTCCACTGCATCACCCATTTCTCCCACTCTTCCTTCAAAGCCTTCCTCTTCTCTCTGTCTTGCTCACTCAACAGCAACGACACGTCCTGATCCTCTGCTTCATACTTCCTGCTATACTTCTTTAGATTCTTTGCCACCTCTTCTTCCTTCTCCGGAGACAAGAACGACGGTGGTCTTGGACGCCATGCCAACTGTAACCATGAAAAATTACAGTACATAATTAGACCAACGTAATGTAAGAAGCTAGTTTGAGAATTCAGACAAATATGTTGTTACACACCTGGAAGAAATGATCCTTTAGTATCCGGTAAAGCAAAGTTCCGTTGAAAGACCAGATGCTGAAACCATTTTCCATCTCATGGACTGATGTCACTGCGGTTGCAACGTACCTGTGAAAACGAAAAAGAGAACCAAAACCAAACAATATTCAGTTTTTTCTGCAATTGAAACGAAGAGAAACCACCAATGGTCTGGTTTAGTACCTTCCGGTAGGGTCCCATTCGATGTCTGTGGCCATGAAGTGTTCAGCTGTAGCCATTGTCTCGAGCTCATCGACGTTGAAGAATTCGAGCTGGCCATTGAAACCCTTTAACCCAGCAAGGATTATGTATTTGCCAGTGGGAGACCAGAAGAGGGCATTGGCTTGTTTGGCCTTCAGAGTACCGAGCTTCGAAACCCTTCCACTGTTCTGTGCGGTCTTCATCGAGTAGAAACTGACATCTGGTCTTGGTTGGTCACCGTGAATCACAGCGAACCTGTGACCCTTAGGCTCCCACGCGAAGGCAATGATCTTGTCGTTCTTGTTGTCCAGCTCAAGAACCTCGATGGGAATGTCCCTTTCTTTGATGCGGAAAAGCTCGAATCCAGAGTATGTGCTCTTCTTTGTTTTCGTGTATCGATTGACCTTGACAGCGAGATACTCTCCGCTACTCTGCCAATACATCTTGCAGTCACTCACACTGAAGAGATTCTTCTGCCTCAGCTCCACCTTGCTAGGGATTTGCACAAGAGCGACCTGAAGATTGTGATATCAACATGTTAACTAACAAAACAATTGGTGGAGAAACAGAAGCAATTTGTGGATTTTAGGGATTTTTTTTCCACAAGAGATTATAGGAAAAAATACCTTGGCAGGCTGGTTCCCACCGCCTTGTTCAGGAACAAACAGTGAGAGGATGGAATCAGTAGGAGACCAAGAGATGTCGACAACATTATCAACCTTCATGGATTTCTTGTCTATTAAGCTGAAAGTCTCAGTCTCATAGACAGAGATAGTGTTTCTGCTGAGCTTGGCAAAGTATTTATCGTCTTTTCCTCCAGCCCATCTGCAGAAAAAGTATACAAGATATCAACAAATGTAGAGGATACATTTTTATTGTAATTTTTTTTTGGAAATTTCAAACACAGTTCGAGATATTACCTGAAAATAGGCCAAGAGGCGCCAGCAACACCACCAGGTCCTCCAATTGAAAACTCATTAGCACTACCCTTGAAGTCTCTCATCATCCTCCCGGTTCTCACATCAAAGACCTTTATCTCTACTACCTGAAAATTGAGCAAAAAATCAGAATCCTCTGCATAAAGTCAAATTCCAAATAATAGTGTAGCAAATAACAGAAGAAAAGATGCACTCACACTTGTATCACGCGGGTTACTTGGCTCCTGGCTATGGTAAGTTACCAGGTATTTCTCCCCTGGTGAGAAATCAACTAGTTTTACATTATTATGTTGATAACGCATGAGACGGGTGAAGGTATCAGCACCGCCCCAAACAGCTGCCCCCTGCTTGTGAAGTGTCACAAGGTATGTACCGAGAGGAGACCACTGCACATAGCTCTCTGTCCAATACTGCATAGGAAGAGAATACCATATATTCAGATGATGGTAACATTAACATATACCATTGCACTAAACAGTCAAAGTGACAAATATGGGAGATGCACAAGGGGAAGTAAGTAACTTACAGGACGCTTATGAACAGGTTCAGGCTTCTTGTGCCTAGCATCATTCCATAAGACTTCAGTGTCAGGGCCAGAACGAATGACCAGCTGATCCCGGGCTTTTTCATCAGTAAGCCACTTTTGCAAATTTTCCTGAAAACGTAGGTCTAAGTTATAACTAACGAGAACAATCACCTCAAAAGACTGCAATGAATACACACAAGTGTACATGCAACTATGGTTATCCAATCAAAATTATTGGTTAAAATCCACCAAATCTGGCAAACACACCACTAATTCAACCAGAGAATAGGTAAAATAAAGAACCTCTTGCGCATATCAAAGTTTTCAAGATGCATGCATGCCAATTAGAAAACTTACCCCAGGCACATAAGGCTTGGTTTGAGGTGCCTCCCACTCCTCCTTCACACTCATCAACCTGTCGAAATCATCGAACATGTTCACGGCAAAGATATGGGACTTATCCAACTTGTAGCCATGACTCTTTTCCCTAGCGTTTTGAGCTTCCTGCAAACAACCCACGTATTGAGACAAAAGAATCTTAGCAAAACCCAAACTTCACACAGAAAAGACACTACACTAGATAAACAATCTAGTCCTGTGCTGAAACATATGTTGCTTGCATTATTGCTTGGGTAAAGTAAATCGCGGTAACTAAACCATGAAAATGAATATCAACGACATACATGTAAGCTAAATAAGATATTCTATTCCTGTGTCTCTTCTTCTAACAAGAGAAATGAATCGCTGAAACATGTGTTGCTTAAATCTCACACGCTAAACCCTGAAAGGGAGGAATACCAACGACATACATGTAAGCTAAATAAGATAATCTAGTCCTGTCTCTCTTCTTCTAACAAGAGAAATGAATCGCTGAAACATGTGTAGCTTAAATCTCACAAGCTAAACCTTGAAAGGGAGGAATATCAACGACATACATGTAAGCTAAATAAGTTAATCTAGTCCTGTCTCTCTTCTTCTAACAAGAGAAATGAATCGCCGAAACATGTGTTGCTTAAACCTCACAAGCTAAACCTTGAAAAGGAGGAATATCAACGACATACATGTAAACCGAACAAGAAGAGAGTAAATAAGTAACCTGAGGGTTATTGAACTCGACGAAACAGTATCCCAATGACTTCTCGGTCACGGGATCAACGGGCATCCACAGTCCATTCTCCTTGATTACACCTAACTGGTTGTAAATCTTCCTCACAACACCTTCTAGTTTCTCAAACTTCTCCTTGGCAACAACAGGGAGGTTATCGATCACGATTATATTACCGAACCCAGTGTCGAATTCTAGCTGGTCGTCGTGGTAAACAGCTTCATCATCACTAACACCACAACCATATCAAAAGGACCATAAAAGATTCAGTTCCATTGTTCATACGTTCACAGAGAGAAATACATGTATATATCAAATGCACCATCAAGCTAGAGATAAACAAATGCATATTATTCGAAGTTATATATATCATGTGCGAAATTCAAGACACTTTGATATCAAATTGAGAGAAAACTATTGAAGTTTCTCACGTTTCGAACAAAATTTCTACAAGATATGGGCAGAAGATAAGAGAAACAAGAGATCTAATTGAAAAATCTCACCTCACAATCCCAAAGTCGTCTCCAGGAGGAAGTTGGATTGAATCTAGATTAACCTGAGACCAATCGATCCCTAACTCAGCCGCACGAACATCAATATCCACATCCGCCATGATTACAAAATCTTAGATCGCAGATTCTCTTTATCTATAGGAATCGAAAGGATAACAGAGACAGAGCGAAATGATTACTGAGGAAGAAACTCGAGGAAGCGCTCGTACAGAAGAAACTGTTAAGACCAAGGAGAGAGTCTGCCTAGGGTTTTTAGAATTTGCAGCTAGTGATAAGGCTATGAACACGGAATATTTTTCCTATCAATGGATCATGAAGTACATCATCATACCGGCCCGATCTGTAGACCAGAAACCCTAAAAATACTTTAGACCGTTCTACATATTCTAAAGCCCATTATCATAACGGCCCAATCTATAGACCTGAAACCCTAAAAACGACTTCAGAAACTTAACATTTTGAAGGACTTGACTTTTTAGGGGAGTAACTAATGGCTTGGGCATAATGTAACCCCGATTCGAAAGTGCTATCGATTCTTAAAAGCGGCTCGAATCGGGTTCAGTAATCAGTACCTATAAATTGTCTGGATGGATTCTTCTTTATGTATTTTGATTCAGATCATTCAAGATCCAATAAATATCAAAAAAAAAAAATCAGATTTTTATAGAAAAATCACATAATTTATTTTTTTTAAAATAGCAGTCACTACACTTAAAATCTCGAGTGTTTTTAACTGACACTTTAAATCTCTAAACTAATTTATTTAACACTTTAAACTATCAATCTAGTTTTTTTGTTACACTGATATTTATTAAATATGATATTATAATAGTTCTCTGATTACAAAAATAAGAACACGAATTAAATTAGCTGATTAACATATGAGTCATAGTCAAAATAAGGTAAATCACACTTTTAGTCTATTGATTCAAAAAGGGTTTTGGTATTTCATAGATTTTAAATATGATTAATCAATTTCAATCGGGTATCTTTATTTTTGTAATCGGAGAACGACTATATTGTTGCTAGATAAATTAAATGTATTCTGTTATTTGAGCTAACAGTTTCATTTAAAACAAAAAATGTCGGTGCAACCAAAAAAGCTAGATTGATGGTTTAATATGTAATAGAAACTAGTTTGAAGGTTTAAATTGTTAGTTAAAAACTTATAAGATAGAAAATGTAACTGACACTTTGAAGGTTTTTATGCAATTTTCTGATTTTTTTATATTTTAGATATTTTTGCATACTTTCAGTACTTTGCTTTTAGATATAGTAAAAGAATTGAATACTCTCACTTTAAAAGTTTGCCTTGCATATTTCTTGATTTTTAACTTTGTTTATTTTTTTAAAAAAGTTTTAAGGTATTTTAATACTTTTGAGTATTTTTAAATAAAAAATAATATATTATAGTTGGAAGAAAAAAATGATTCTAACTGAAATGATAGTGAACCGAATCCGAATAAAAAAATCCAAAAAAATACCTAGATAATACCTCAATTCTTAGGGTTTCAGAAGTTTTAGAAGATTTGCAAGTCTGATGTTGTAACTATTCTTCGGATTTACTAATTCTGATCATATTTTAGATTCAGATTCTTAGAGTTTTTTTTTTAAGTTCTTGAATAATTGTATCCTTCAAATGTGTTCTGCAAATATATCCTTCTGTTTGGATAAAAATTTCAAATGACAAAACAAAACAAAAAATACCTCAACCGTCAATACGGAATACCTGAAACATAAAGTAGTCATGAACAAAGTATACTTGAATGCACATGCCTAATAAGTAATAACCTATACTGGACTAACAAACATGTGCAATCTTTTTGCAAAGAATTGAATACTCTCACTTTAAAAGTTTGCCTTGCATATTTCTTGATTTTTAACTTTGTTTATTTTTTTAAAAAAGTTTTAAGGTATTTTAATACTTTTGAGTATTTTCAAATAAAAAATAATATATTATAGTTGGAAGAAAAAAAATGATTCTAACTGAAATGATAGTGAACCGAATCCGAATAAAAAAATCCAAAAAAATACCTAGATAATACCTCAACTCTTAGGGTTTCAGAAGTTTTAGAAGATTTGCAAGTCTGATGTTGTAACTATTCTTCGGATTTACTAATTCTGATCATATTTTAGATTCAGATTCTTAGAGTTTTTTTTTAAGTTCTTGAATAATTGTATCCTTCAAATGTGTTCTGCAAATATATCTTTCTGTTTGGATAAAAATTTCAAATGACAAAACAAAACAAAAAATACCTCAACCGTCAATACGGAATACCTGAAACATAAAGTAGTCCTGAACAAAGTATACTTGAATGCACATGCCTAATAAGTAATAACCTATATTGGACTAACAAACATGTGCAATCTTTTTGAGTAGGGATGACTTGCTTCAAAGCCCCCTTCCCCCCTCCCCCTCCCTCCCCCCCCCCAATGTAATTATTTTGTGCTTATTTCCCCAAATCCAATTAAAATCACGAGTAGAAATCTAAATCGCGTTTTAAAATCAAATTGTCTAGATTTGTGAATCCGAAGCCGAGAGACTAAACCCGACCCAACCCGAACCTCTTAAAATCTCTTCCCCTCTCTCACGACAGAACATCTGAAATTGATTTGGGAAAAAAGCTTGGTTTAGGGTTCATCATCGATACACACAGAGAGAACAGACGACATCATTGCAACGTGACATCATAATTCTTCGACATTATTTCTTTAGAAAGACAAAAAGCAAGGTTAGTTATGGTTTAATTCCCACATTTGCTAATTTGCTGGGTAGACATGAGTTGTAGATTTTGATTTCTGACTAGTCATGATTTCATTGTTGTTGATTTCATGGGAAGGAACAATGAGCTCTTCTTCGTCTACTTCATCTGGATTGACAAACCGAAGGTCAGTGATGGGTGTTCCTATAAATTGTTGGTGTGGGAGAAAATTGTGACATATGCTTCTCAAACAAAGGAGAACCTTTTACAGATGTGAGGTTAGCTTGCAGGTATTCTCCGATTAATAGTGAGTTTGACAGAATTTATCTTCATTTGATGAAATTTTTCTTGTCTGTATAGAGGAAAATGGAGCAACATTTGTTCAAGTGGATTGATGAAGCTTTGATGGATGAGACAAGAATGGTAGAGGCGAAGCATTTGAGGCTTGTAGAAGAGGTGAAAGAAATTAAAAAAGAATTGCTGAAGAGTTTGGAGCTTCAAGACGAAAAGAGTCTTGAAATGGAAGAAGAGATTACAGAAAAAGTTGATGAGAAAATGAAGGAAGTGATTATGATGACTAATGAAACTGTGCAGATGATGACTGGAGATATAGCTATAAAGTGTATGAAGAAAGTAGGGATGACAATGTTGGTTGAAGGAACAATATGGTAGATTTGTGGAAAGATTGTTATGAATTAGTTTAGTTATAGGATGATGTAATGAGTCTAGCTTGCAATGTTGTGTGTTACAATGGATGATGTTATAAGTGTAGCTTGTTATGTATGTTTTTGGAATCTAGATTTTATGAGAATATTTCCAATGACAATCTATTTGCAATTCGTTCTCTCTAATGCTTATCGGTAGAGTTTTTTTAGTCATGAGTGATCATAAGAACATAGAGAAGTAGCAACATACATAACGATATAAAGAAATGCCATTTACTAACATTTATTGCTTGTTTAAAAGGCACACAAAACCCCCCCCCCCCCCCCCCAAAATAGCATTCAAATGTACTTAAAAGGCACACAAAAGCCCCAAAATATAGAAATAACAACTTCAGATGTTAACAAACAATATATTCTGGATTCAAAGACAAATACAATCCCCAAAGTAGCAACATTATCAAAGACAACTACAACATATTCTGGATTCACTCTGTTATTTGAGATGGCTGAGTGAGAAAAATCATATCAGCTGCTTGATATATGACCAAAGTCCCATTTTCAGCTCCTTGAGATGAAATTGTGCCCTGAAAAATAGAAGATAAAAAGCAATCAATAAGAGCCCAAAACCTGCAACAAATAATACAACTAAAACCTGCAACTTAAAACTAAAACCTGAGAAAACCTGCAACAATTAATGCAACTAGAACCTAAAACTAAAACTTGCGACTAAAAATAAGCAAAATTTTGCAACAACAAAAACCAAACACTAAAAATCCAAAACCTGCAATTTCAAAGACACATAAAACCAACTCTTACAATTAAATAAGCAAAATCATAACATCAAAAACAACTCAAACCTGTAACTTCAAAGACACATAGTACCAAACAAAGTGAAGCTGCAATATCAAAAACACCTAAAACCAAGTGAAGCTGCAATATCACAGACACCTAAAACTAAACAAAGCTAAGCTGCAATATCAAAGACCTACCGGATCACTAAAATCATACCTGGTTACTCGTTTTTTTCCTGTCCTCTGCTTCTTCTTCGGAAGTATCTTACATCCAGCAGCATTGTGTTCAAGTTCACCGCAGCTTGAGCAGTGTATGGTGCGTCTAGTCCTTGGTAAATTTTCAACCTGCTTCTTCTTCTTCTTCCTCTTTGGTGACTCAAAACTTCCCTTTGATTCTTGGTTGTTTCTTCTTCTTCTTTCTTCCTGGCAGATCAGGTTATGGGGGAGCTGTTACCAGCCTAAAAGAGCCATCCATCCAGAGACGTGGTCCTCTTGCTGGTTTGATATTGTCACTGTAATAATCTTGCCACATACTTGTTGAGAACCAGTGACTGACATAATCTTCAGTATCTAAGCCTACATCTATCATTGCTCCATATGCATGCTCACATGGTATTCCAGTGATTTTCCACTTACAACATGAGCATGTCTTCTTTGTAGTGTTCACATTGTAGCTAATCCCAAACAGCTCCACTTCGAATCATCCATATGCACCATGAGTTGTAAAACATTTATCATCATTCCTCTTCTGCTCAGCAAGAACCAATTTAACATGTTCCAAAGACCAACCATCCCACTTTCCAGATTTCTCGCTTCTCTTTGAAATCCGAGTCATTGCTTGCCTCCTAATTGTCTCAAGCATTGATATTATTGTCTTACCTCTTGCCTTTGTAATGGTGGAGTTGAAGGATTCAGTGGAATTGTTATCCACATTATCGCAGAA